CCCCAAAACCCCAAAACCCCAAAACCCCGTTGTTAGAAATTTAAATCAGAATAGAATAAAAAAAGTAATCTTAACCGATGAAAAGATATCATAATATTTAAATACAATGACTACATCAATCTCTCTATTTATACCTGTTAAAATAATAATCTAAAGCCATAGTATGAGCTTTTGACAATCCTTCACCAAGAGGATTTGGATAATGAGGCAATAGCTGCTTTTATTAAACTTAAATTTTTCTTACAGCACCACTTTTATCTATTGGCTCATATCCTTCAAATACTTAATCGGTTTCAGTTTTAGCCAGCAAATTTTTTATATCACCTTCACTTAACCAAACAGCCTAATCTACCTCTGAATATTAGAGATTAAGCTGCACTTTATCTCTGCTTACTGGCAGTTTAATTTTATAGAATAATATCATATGTGTAGATTTAGCTGCTTCGAAGCTATTGACATTATCTTTGTATGTAGCACTTTCAAAAGCATAGAACATCTATAAGTCTGAACAGGGCTAATCCTTATAAAAATATTCAAATTTTTAAGTTTCAGCGTTAAGAGATTGAACAATCTCAATTCCTGTCTCTTCACCAGCTTCTCTCAGAGCTGCATACTCTGGTAATTCTTGAGTTTCAACATGCCCACCTGGAATTACCCATGCCTTAGGGAAAAACATCATCCTTTATTATCTCCTAAATTATTGAAATTAAATTAATTGATAGTTTCTTACCTAGTCGATAGAAGATAATCATCAGAATCGAATATAACACAACACACAGCCAAATTAGTTAGTCTACTGGAATATTATATGGAATGCTGAGCTTGCTGGCATCTCTCAGCATAAATTCGGTTGGGGCAAACATCTGAGTGTTCAAACATTATCAAATGATTTGTAGTATCCTTGTGTGAATTGAATTTATCTTAAAGTTCTTGTTTTTTCTAATACTTATAAGGATAGTCATGCTTTTTAATGTGAAGCTATTGAAGGGTATGATTGTACTGAAATAAGCAAATAAAAGGTTGCTCCATTCCTGGAAGATCTTGCGATTTATAAATTGAATTTAGAATACATTATCCCCTTTTCAATGGTTGATCGTATTAATCATTGATTGTTACTACAATCTAATCGTTGCAAAGAGGCTGAAATTCCTTTGATTTTATAGCACCCATATTTTATCTTTTTGTTTAAAAAATAATTATAAATTTACTCTTCATTACGTCATTTTTATACCACAATCAACCTACTAATTGAACTTCATGGGGTTTTGGGGTTTTGGGG